ATAAAAAAGTATTCCGATTATGATGATTACAGGAGACAATAATAATGATAAATTAGTTATAAAAACGATAAGTGTTATTCTATCTACTGGTTACTAGTTTCAACTAGTCCTCATAAAAAACGTTGATGTTACGAATATTGTTGAAATATGAAACTGAAAAAAATGAAGACAATTTCATGAAGATCATACGAGAGGAAAAGTATTTTTCATTTGAGATGATATGTGTTGCGTCCTTGAATCTATCTACCCACTTTAGTGCAGAGTAGGACTTGTCTAATGTAGATTAAGACCTTGATCCGATAGGCTGACTGGCTTAACCTTACTAAATCTACTTAATTAAATCTACTATTGGGTACCTTCAACTTGACATATTCATCCAAAAAAAAAAAAAAATATCCATCTTTTTTCCCGTAGCATCAAAGTATGTATCTAATTACATAGTTTTGTCAACTGTTTACTAGTTAGCAATTTTATTTTGAACCAATTAGTAGCTTAACTCATTACGTATTTTGTTCTTGAAAATAATTACCCTTAGTACGCTAAAATAACCATGTAATAGCTTATTTAAAGCCTCACTGTCTTTAGCTACTATCCTAATCGGTCTTCCAGAATTATCCTTTGCATTTTATATTTACACTTTAAATTCTAATAGCTTTTACTGAAAAAATTCAATTACTGTTAATATTTCATACTGACCAAATTCAGTTCCATAATCATGTTGAACAATGCTTGTAATTTTCAATACTAAAGTTGGATAGGCTATTATAAACTACTGGTGAGAATCAAACAAGGTAAAATAGGATTCACTGTTATTCTATTTAAATAATTTTGCTTACTGTTTACGAGTTAATAGAAACAGAAGCATATGGATGACATTTTTCAAAAGATTTATGATTAATCAAGTTAGTATTGATTTAAGCAATCAACAAGTAAATATGTGATACTTCAAAGAATAAAAACATGGATTATTTATGAAATTATTTTTAGAGAATAATTTGTGAAAAATGGATGGTGGCTAGCAGTGGAATCCAAGAGTAACCATCAACTCTGAGATGGAGGTAAATCTAGCTGACGAGTCCAAAATAGGATGAAACGTGCGTCCTGGATCGCACTGGTAGTCACCATCCATCTCTGTTTATAATGCTTTTGGTATAAGACAATATCGAGGCAATCCACACAAGATGCGTGTATTCCAATAAGAGATTGACCAACTGCAGTCCTTGACGTGTGAGTTGTTGTAGGTATTTTACCGACTAAAATTCAAGATTACACATTACCTATAATCAAAACAATGAAATATTTGACTATGATTTTATAATTAATAAATAAACATTTGTAATTGGAATGTAATACAATAGCTGTTATCCAAAAAACAGTTTTTTATAAGGTGTATAGGATTGTACAGTGAATTTATTGGCTCAAAAATAAACAAGATTGCTCATTTGTTTTCCCTAACGATCTGTCTATTATCATGTAATATTACTGGTAATTAAAACAATAATTATGATGACAAATTGAATCAGATTACGATTGCGTTACAAAACAAACCAGTTTCAATGCATTTACTAAAGTAATTTATTTAATTTATTTTTAATGTTTATTTATTTATTAATCTGTTTTTATTGATAAGTAACCAGTTGTACATTTAATACCGATGTTTAAATAATAATAATACTATTACTACTAATAATAATAATAGTAACGGTAATAATAGTCATCAAAGTCATCCTTTATATGCATGCAAATAGAAATTGTTATTCATAAAACCGTTCATGTGTCGAGACAAATAATGTGAATTGCAATATAGGTATATATATAATGATCAAAAATTTCAGGTAACTGAGATGGTGGTTGGAGGTAGTGAACAGGAACCCCTGGACCTAGGTTTTGTGCAACTTGGCACTGTTCAGTAAGGTATGCCTGAAATCTTGAGGGAACTAATGTTCCCTAAGGGATTTGATCCCGTATCACTCAGTCTCACACTCAGAGACGTTATCACTGAGCTATCCGGGACGGATTCGTTTTGCACTAAGAAGGACCTGACACATATGACATTGATCACCATTTATTGATCAATCAATTGTAAATTTCAAGTAACTGCTTGTCATTTAATATTAATTGCATTTTCGTTCATAGCTCTTCAGATACACAAGGTGATTCGAGAATATCCTCAATTTAAGAAATATAAATTAGGATGCTACTACCTAATACTTAAGATTTACTGTTTCATTTTGCGAATAATATTAATTTCGATTACTGTTTTATAAATAAGTAATGTTATCCATATGAAGTAAATAACTGATTAGCGGTTCTAGATTCTATCTAATGACAATCTGCCTTGCAAATTCCTAACCGAACTATCAAACTAAGCTATCAGCTGATTAGTAACTAAAAAAACATCAACCAAGATGCAATATAAATTCAACTTAGTATTGTTTGTTTGAATCTTGTTAGTACTGCAACTGGTCAGTCTCTAATTGGCATATGTGCATACTGTGCGTATTGCCTCGATATACCTTAATTCACAAGCATGGTTAGCAGAGATGGATAGTGGCTAGAAGTGGAATCCAGTGTGACGCGCGTTTCGTCCTATTTGGGACTCGTCAGCTGGATGTACCTGCATCTCAGAGTTGATGTTCACTCTGGGACTCGAACCCAGTACGCGCGTCCTGGATTCCACTGCTAGCCACTATCCATCTCTGCTAAAGATGCAATATAGTTTACATTAAAATATGATAAAAAATAACTGTGGAGTAATTAAAAAACAATGTATTTTTCCCACCTTGAACTTCCTAAAATATTTTGTTTCCTTGATAGTTAGGTATGTTATATTTTGCACACAGCATTATTCGACTTTTTTTTAGATCTATGAAGTTTACTAGTCATGTGAGATGTTGAACTTCTAATTATGGATAAAATTCTAACGAAAAATATATTAATGAATGAAGATTATAAGTACGAGAATAGACGAATACATTTACAGTGTACTAGTAATCTTGAAATAATTACAATCTTACTTCTAGTACTATAATTGTAATTACTTCACTGATAATGCAATTCATAAGACAATTATTTAAACACAATCATGATTTCAATGGTGTTTTTTGATTATTTCAAAGGATGTTCCAAATCAAGTCAAATGGAGTTTAGTTCTCTATAAACATATTCAGTAAATAACAAATAAAAATTGCATGTGTTTAATTTTTTAGTCAATGTTGATGTTATATCCCGTGGAGAATTATGAATGGTAACTTTGAGGACTATCGATGAACCAATGTGATATGTTTATTTCCTATTGTGTAATTGTTAAGTAACTTATGTATCCACATTCGTGTTCCTTTTATTATGAGCTTTATTTTGAACCATAGACTATTACTACACGACTTACCATTCTTGAGTTATCCCCAGTCTATTGATTACTGTTACCCCTATTCACAGCCACATTTGGCCAAATCTTGTACAAATGTTATTTTCTATTTAATGGTACGATGTGGCCAGTTTGTGTGGTATATAAACTCAGTATGTTTGAGAATAATGATTCATATTGCAGAGGCTGTAATTGGTGTTCTGGATTTAACTGGTTGGACTAAGCAGAAAGCTGGATTGATAAGTACTCAAGACTGCTCATACCGCTTTTGTATATCATTGGGCGATCGATAAATTCACTCCTCTCTTATTGGCGGGAATCAGCACGTTCATATATAAAAGAGGGAACTTACTTAGTTGATATAACAATTGAAATAAAGGAATATTTTATACAGAAATATAAAAAAATTAAATGTTTACTTTCAATGGACTTCACTGAAATAAACATCATATTCCTAACGTTACAACTATACAAATATTACAATTAAACTAAGAGTTTTCAATTTATTTGAACTGAAATCTTGTAACTTAACTATATGTCACTCATGAGTCATTATTAAAGAATTGTGAATTAGTGTTATAATAAATTTTGAAAACTTCGAACAGAAAAACTACAGTTTTCAATATATTTTCCTTTTTACCTTTATTGTTTAACAAAACTGGTGGTGATGAATAGAAAAAGAAAAAAAACAATTATATCAGCATGACTACTATAAAACCTTATTGATTAAATATAAACGATTTATATATATATATATATATATATATATATTAATTATTAAAAATATTTAAAATACTTATTTTAAATATTTACTATTCCATATATATATGCTAATTGGATACTTAAATAAATAATATATTTGTAATATTATAGAGTTGATATCATGAATCAGTTGAAGATAGACCACCATGGAAAACATGGAAGCACTGGACAGCCGTTTCGTCCTATTGTGGGACTCCTCAGTAGTGCGCATTCACGATCCCACACTCGCAAGAATCGAACACAGGACCTACCAGTCTCGCGCCAGAGCACTTAACCGATAGACCACTGAGTCGGTATTCAATGGTGTTAATGTCTAACTTCAACCGATTCACAAATTTGAATGACATATTCACTATTGTCTTCAATGAGTTACTATGTCACAACAAACCTGGTCAAACTCCACTGGTCATGGCTTCCAGGTTTTCCATGGTGGTCTAGCTTCAACTGACTCATGATCTCAACTCTATAAAATTACTAAGATCTCCACCGAACCCCTTTTGATACTTGTAATATCCCAATGAGTGGAAAAATAGATTTTCTGACGTTGTTCCTTTGTACTATTTAAACTTAGATTAATGTTAATTTGGTTATTTATTCTCTGAAGAAGTCGCTTACACTGAGTCACGAAACGTCAGATAATCTAATTTTTCGACTCATTGGGATATTACAAATATATAGTTTATTTATAATAATCTACGCAATGCTCAATTTATTCAAAATTATCAAATTAAAACTTGATAATGATACCTATAATGAAATATTTGTATAAACAGGTATAGAGGATTTGATACTGTTCCAAAATTTATCGTCTTAAATTAAGTTATTAGTGATATTAATTATAATAGATACTAATTAAATCAACAGATTACTATCAACCATTACATGATGATGATGATGATGATGATGATGATGATGATGATGATGATGATGATGATGATGATGATGATGATGATGATGATGATGATGATGATGATGATGATGATGATGATGATGATGATGATGATGATGATGATGATGATGATGATGATGATGATGATGATGATGATGATGATGATGATGATGATGATGATGATGATGATGATGATGATGATGATGATGATGATGATGATGATGATGATGATGATGATGATGATGATGATGATGATGATGATGATGATGATGATGATGATGATGATGATGATGATGATGATGATGATGATGATGATGATGATGATGATGATGATGATGATGATGATGATGATGATGATGATGATGATGATGATGATGATGATGATGATGATGATGATGATGATGATGATGATGATGATGATGATGATGATGATGATGATGATGATGATGATGATGATGATGATGATGATGATGATGATGATGATGATGATGATGATGATGATGATGATGATGATGATGATGATGATGATGATGATGATGATGATGATGATGATGATGATGATGATGATGATGATGATGATGATGATGATGATGATGATGATGATGATGATGATGATGTTATATATACGTACATTTTAGATCAATCTACATTCACTGAATGAATAGATTACATTGATGTATAGTTATTAAATGTTCACTTAAATTTAAACTACCTGTATAGTTAAAACAAATTTGTTTAATTATAACCATTATTATTACTAACATTATTATTATTTTTGTATTTATATACAATTAGAATAGTAATAATTAGTAGTATATAAATAATGTAGGCAAATTTTTATTATTTATTTATGAAAGATACATGTGTCCATGTGTAAATGTGTACCTAGAATGAATTTTAATTACCGCAAATGAGTTATATTAATGACATTTAAATTTATACTTAAATACATTAAATATATATATACATATATGCTTGTTTTGATGTTTTTATACATATGAATGTTATACCTAGACACTTGTTCAAGCTTAACATCCTCCTTATACAATACATAGATACAAACAAAACTTCCTAGTTAACATTGTTATTATTATTATTACTACTACTACTAGTAGTAATAGTAGTAGTAGTAGTAGTAGTACAGATATTATTTATACAAACATAAATAAATACAATCTGTATTTAATTAACTCAATCTAATAAAAATAGGTAAATAAATCATGTAATCTTGTAAGAATGTGACTAAATTATTATTATTATTATTATTATTATTATACATTCATATTAAAACTTTAACTGTCAAATCAACAATTCAAATGAATGCACTCTTATACAGTTCATATACATGTATATATATATGTAATTCATTTATACAAATAAATAAATTTTGTTTAATAATTCACATCAATATTTTCTTGATATATACATAATATAACATTCTAGATTTCATATATGCATGTATATGTTTACATGTGAATTGGGCTAAACAGTTTTGATAACTTAACATCATAATTACGGTTGCCATAGTAACAATGTATATAGTTAATTTGGTAACTTTGTGTGAAATGAAATAAGTTGAAGGATTATTTTTTTTTTATATTACAAAATATATAAATATCATCAAATGTCAAATGAATAAGAATGAAAAAAAAATTTGTATATATTGTTACACTTTCATGCAAGTAGATTTCTGTGAGAATGATAACTGTAACAAGGTGTTAAACTATCTTTTCATAAGAATAGAAACATATATATATATGATAATTAAAATGTTATACATTTGAATTGATAGAATATTTAGTTAGTAAGATTAGATATAATGCGAACTAAAGGTAGAACTATAAAGGTAGATTTATAATTACTATGAAAAAAGTAACTACTCATTATAACTTTGACGGTTTATGGACTGGCCCAAGTTATTTTTTATACATTAAGATATTACAACAAAAGAAGTTAAATTAAATATTGTAAAATGATAAAATTGAGCACACTTTCGTTAGTTAAAAACAAAATAAAAATGATTACATACCATATTAGAATATTGAATTAATGAAAATGATAAATACATTATCATTTTGGTATTGTAAAGATTGTTGAAATTCAGTGGAATCATGGACCAATCAACGTTAGATCATCATTAAAAACATGAAAGAATAGGATGATCGTTTTATTCAATCATCATATCCCCGATTCCCCACTCAGGACTCGAACCGAAGACCTCCGGTCTCGTGCTAACTTCTAATTTCTGTACCACTGAGCCGGCATCTGACGATGTTAATGCGCCACACCCGACACGGTTGAGTTGAAAGCTACCGTGTGCTCACTGTTGATTTTCTTCGAGAGGTAATTTTTGGAGTTCCAGTGAGAAGCAGTGACCAGTGTAGTTCTATCGTGCCGGATCGGAGGCAGTTATCCACCGAAGACAATGAAATATGATCGCGCAATATTGCGGGTTAGTTGAAGTTAGATATTAACATCGTCGGATACCGGCTCAATGGTACAGAGATTAAAAGTTAGCACGAGGCTGAAGGTCATTAGATCGAGTCCTGAGTCCGGGATCGTGGATGTGCATTGCTGTGGAGACCGATTATAGAATAAAACGGTCGTCCTATGCTTTCATGTTTTTAATGATGATCTAACATTGATCACTTCATGATTTCAATAATAAATTTGTTCCACTGAGATCTTGTGTACATATTTAACACTGTACAACTATTGGTTGTACTCACATGATTTTTTTTCTTTCATCAGACATAACAAATTACGCATAGCCAAGCTTGATCAACAACTCATTTGAAATATAAACAGATTTTAACTAAAGTTCATATGATATATTATTACAACCATGAATTCACTTAGTATTGTTTGTTTGAATCTTCCCATTGATGCTTAAGACTGCAAGTGGTCAGTCTCTTATTGATAAATGTGCATACTGTGTGTATTGCCTCGATATTGCCTTCATTCACAAGCACTATTATAATCTTGTTTTTCTTCACATACTTTTACTTATTTTTCGTATGAACTGTTAATAATAATTTTGTAAATCACTCAAGTCAACTTACTATTATCAACGTTCTTGCGAAGGATATGTAGAAGAAAATTCACATTTTTCCGAACTATGTTTTAAAGATCAAATATTTTATTTTATTACCACAGCTAGGACTTCATATGTATTGATTATATAAGTTTCTGTATTCCAATATTAGAAATAACTGCAACACGTTATACCGGTCCAATAAACAAAATTAATTTTCTTTCCTGTATAATAAAGTTAAATACAGAATGACAAACTAAAGTGCAATCAGTAATTTAAACCTTCTGGTAATTTATAAAAGCCATCAATTACTGTTCAGACGGAAATGTGTCTTCATTCTGGCTTTGCCAGGCTATTTAATGTCTAATAATGTCATGAGACAAAAGATATTTCGTCCAAGTGGAACTAGGAACTAAAACTGTGGTCCTTTATGAATCAACACAGTATGTTTCCTCAAATGGAAATAAAGATATTTATCATAGTTGAAAGCGTGAGTCAATTGAAGCTAGACCACCATCGAAAACCTGGAAACACTGGATGGCCGTTTCGTCCTATTATGGGACTCCTCAGCAGTGCGCATCCACGAACCCGCTCTCGCGATATTCGAACCCAGGACCTACCAGTCTCGAGCCGAAGCCCTTAACCGATAGACCACTGGGCTGGCATCCAACGGTGTTAATGTCTAATTTCAACTTTGACGGTTGATGGACGAAACGGCCGTCCAGTGTTTCCAGGTTTTCCATGATGGTCTAGCTTCAATTGACTCACGCTTTCAACTATGATAAATACTAAATCTCCACAAAACCCCTTCTATAAAGATATTTCACTGGTTTGTATGTCATGTATAAATAGTTTCTGAGAAGGTCATTTTTAAATATATTCCCATTAAATAGAAACCTATGACATCAGACTTTTTATGACACACTGATAATAAGGAATCGGTTTTAGAACATCAAACTAGAAATCGAATAGGAAAATGGTAGCATAATCCCATCATACGTGTGCACATCACAATACAGCTTCAACTTTCTATGTCGTTCACATTCGTAATTTCTATTTATGACTTGTTTTTCAAAAGGTTTTAGCATAAGATAGAATCTAGTCAATCAATAATGCAATAAAATAACAGAAAGATAAAGACAGGTATCCATTTCAGTACAGTGGAGAACGGTCGCACGATTTCGTGCATTGGTTGAGGTTAGACATTAAAACCGTTGAATGCCGGATCAGTGGTCTAGAGGTTAAGCGTTCGCTCACGAGATCGAAGGCTCTGGGTTCTAATCTCGCGGGTGGGATCGTGGATGCACACTGCTGAGGAGTCATATGATAAGACGAAATGGTGATCCAGTGCTTCCAGGTTTCCAATGATGATCTAACATGAATCGGTTCATGATCTCAATAAAAAACTTTATAATCTCTACAATCCCATGCTGATTATTTCGGGCACTTGGGAACTTGTTCCTAAAACTAACAAATCCACATAAATTTGTCTGAAAAAAATTAACCATCCATCAGATATCTAGAATATAGGTATTTTATGTTTTCAACTACTATGTGTTCTAAACAAGGACAGTTAACATATCACTCCCTACCCAAGAACGTCATTGAGCGTACATTACACACTAAATACTAGGGGATTTTATTAAGTGTGTGAATAAGCAATCATGCAGTTTTGAGAAATAAATATGCTACATGATTTCTGAGCAGTTTGTGTTCCATTGTATCTTTTCCAAGAGTTATTAGTAAAATAAATGCGTGATACTTAGGAAATCCTACAGGTTTTATGGTTTAAATAAATTTTATTGCATTAATCATTTGTATAGTCAGTTAGTTGATGGTCAGAATTTAGTTTTATGCCTTAAAGCTTTACAGACTAACTGATTTGAAAACTAAGGCTGACTGGTTAGATAAACATTTCAAGTGAAGATCTCTAAAATTCTCATTGACAGTATTTTCAAGAAGAAACATACTACTATCGCTTGTAGACTAAACATATACCATGAGGGATATTGTATTTTACCTTAGTTATTAGTTCAGTCACACAGGATGGTCACTGTAATTTAAGATAATTCTACCATGTTTGAGTTTCAAATCACTGATTCCATGCTTTTAATCAGTTTCTTGCTAATAAAATATCGAAACTTTCTATTATATTCCTGATTCATTAAGAGACAATGTATATGCTTCAAATCATCAGAATTTCAAATACATCATCCTATGCATATCATCCAAACGAAACAATTAATCAGTAAAACAGAATCACTCAAATTGCAGTTTTACACTCTTCTAACTTCCTTTCTGATAATCCACTAGTTTAACGTATTAATTATAATTAAGATTTACTTATTCAATGTTCTTCTATAGTAAGTGCTAACAAATTTAAAACATTTCTAACAACCACTTACATGTCAGAATTGTTCAGATTAAAATATCTCTGAATCAATTCATTTTTTTGTGTAATAATCAAATTAACTGTATGCTCAATATTGTACGTTATTTGCAGTTTTGTTCATTCATTTATGTAAACATATCTACCTTTCTTTTTCCAATGTTTTGATTAGTATTTACACTTTTTGACCAAATATTTCATAGTCTTTCT